TCCCAGGATACGATGACTTCGAACAATAGTTTAGCACTCAAACTAAAGTTCCAACGAACGTGATCAAAAGCAGAACAGCGAAGGAGCTTGTATGGAGTGCTAGAAGTGTTGTTTTAGCTATGAAAATACGTGAACGAAGTGTATGAAAGATTGTTTATTTGCAAAGCACCTACTAGCCTTTTATAGGGGTGGATTAAGGTGTGTTAATGGCTATTTAAGGGTTATGATCGTTGGACATCAATGTCCTAAACGTTGGGCATTGATTCCAGTCCTTAAACAACCCAAAACGTTCATGGAACAAAAATTAAAGTAGGAACGTACCGGAAGAACAAAAATTAACTTTACCTTTAGAAGATAGATTTTCGGACGGCATTCGTGTGTGCAGGTCACCCGCACACACAAGTCACGATTTTTGTTCTTCGATTTCGGGATTTGATTCGCACCCCCTGCGCGCGTGAGAGAGCCTTTCCCTTTAGGAATCTTAACTCCTTAGGGGGGGTTTCTCTTTATAAAGGGTTCAAATTCCCTTGTGATTTTCGGTGTGGGAAAGAACCCACACTAAAACCCACATTTTCCTAGTTTTCTCCATTCCAACGGGTAAACTTCGAAAAACAATTTCTCATTCACCCGTTATTCGTTTTGAGTGTACCATATATCGAATTGTAGCCCTTAGCAAGGACAATCCGAAACCACTTTGACCCGACCCAAATCGGAAGTGGACCTCACTCAAATCATATCCCCAAAAAGACCATTTAATGCAATTTTTAACACATTTTTTCAACAAGTATTAGGGTTAAATGTATTCTATTTCCTATTTGTTATTAATATGTGATGTTTGTATCTGTATAAATGCTTTTCTTACAAGCTGCAAAATTAGTTAACATCTTTGTTAATGGTTAATAAAGTTGTTGTGATGACTTTACTTTTCCATAAGTATTATTTGTGTAATATATAAGACTTTGTGTTGGTTAATACATTAATATGAGTTGTTAGTGTTCAATTTAATTACTAGTTTACATATCTTCTTGATTAAAGGATCAAACTATCTTAAATCACATTTATTTAAGCGAGATTAATACTTTGCAGGCATGGATTTGTTTAAGCTGAAATATCATCATGGAGGGGAGTTAATGACCCCCCCCCCCCCCCCCCCCCCACACACACACACACAATATATTGGAGGGAAAGAAATAGTTGTTGGTAATATAGATCCCGATAAATGGGATTTTTGGTGGTTATTCAGTTTACCGAAAGAGATAGCCATTGATGGTGAAATTGATGAGCTATACTACCTTGTCCCTAGGGAGGCACCACATGAGGGCTTGCATAAGATTACTAGTGATAAAGTTGTGGTAGAAATAGGAAAGCTAGATATGAAAGCTGGAATAGTTGATTTATATGTTGTGGCAAAGAATAATGAGGGTGATGGCATGTCAGAAACAGGAGAAGAAGACCCTAGATTAGATGAAGACTATGAAGAACCTGAAAAGCTTTATATGGAGCCGCTTCATGGAGAAAAAAGTGATAGAAGTGATGAAGAATGAGTTGAAGCTATAGAGGGAGTACATCAATGGAATCTAAAAACGGAAGGAGAGGTCAAAGAAGCTCTTATTCAGATAGAAGAGGCTACACATTGTGAAGAAAATGAAAATTTACTGGTATTGGTTAAAGAAACTGGTGGATATGTTTCAGAGTACGAAGACAGTGAGGGTGAGATTAATTCCCCGGGAGAGAGTGAAGACGATGATATTCTAGGAAAGAAGAGAAAGGTTACAGCACCAATCGTGAATGAGGCTAATGATTTCAGCAAGCTCCAGTGGTGTGTAGGGATAAGGTTTGCCAACACGGAGAAATTTAGAGAGGCAGTGACTAGGTATGCGGTTGCTCAAGGAAGAAACTTGACTTATTGTGTTAGTGACCAAAATAGGAGTCAAAGACTAGACATGAAATGTGCAGCAGGTTGTACGTTTTCTCTTTATGGTTCATGGGACTATAAAAGAGATTGTTTTGTTGTGAAGTCTGTGAACAACAACCACAACTGTTATAGAGACATGAGTAGAAACAAACAACTGAAATCAAAGTGGATGGCCAAGAATTTGTTAGAAGTATTCAAGGCAACACCACACTGGCCAGGGAAGGAAATTGTTGATGTTGTCAAGAAGAAGTGGAAAGTAGTTATCAAGAGAAAGTTAGCTTACAAAATAAAGTATGAAGCTAACAAATTGATACATGGTTCAATGAAGGACCATCAGGCTGAGGTTGGTAGCTATTTGATGGCTCTAAGGAAGGCAAGTCCTTGTTCTTTCTTTGAACTATACACTGATCCTAAGGTTACAAGAAATCCTTTGATTTTTCAGAGGTTGTTTGTATGCTTTGATGGATTGAAATGTGGTCTTTTAAGCAATTGTATGCGGGTGTTATGTTTAGATGGTTGTTTTCTAAAAACTTTTCTCGATGGTATGTTGCTAGTTGTTGTTGGTAGAGATGGAAACAATCAAATGTTTCCTTTACCTTGGGCTGCAGTGGAGGGTGAAAATAACAACTCATGGGAGTGGTTTTTATCAAACTTACAGGTCTGTTTGGAGACAACAAATGGTCAAGGCTGGACATTTACATATAACCAACAAAAGGTAAACCTCATTCTACTTTTACTTTGACTAATTCCATATGTAAATAAATTAACTAAATGTAACGGAGCAGTCAACTCCACCTATATTTGGACTTAATTTCTATTATCTTGGAATTGATCTCCTTTGTTTATGACTTCTATTGTGTAACAGTACTATATACTTATCGCATTTTTCTTTAAAAAAACTAAAAAAAGCTCAATGTAATACACATTTTGTAGGGTCTTGGTAATGATGTTTCAAAAGTTATGCCTTTTGGTGAGCATAGAAACTGTGAGAGACACATTTTTAAGAACGGACACTCCAAATTTAAATTAAAGGTGATGAGATTAAAGGGTATTTCCGGGAAGCTGTCAGATCATATAATCAGCGAGGTTATAGCGAGGCTTTAGAAAAAATAGGAAATATATCTAAACAGCCGAGACTTTTATAGCTCAAAATCCTAAAACATTATGTCAGACTTTTCTTAATACACACACAAAGTGTGATGTGATTGTTAATAACATGACAGAAACTTTCAATGGCTACATCATTGAAACAAGATCGAAACATGTCATCTACATGTTAGAGGATATAAGGGCTGCCTTAATGGAGAGAATTGTATTGAAAAGAAAGTGAATGGAAGGAATTGATAATGGAAAAGATGAAAGTATTAATTGTCCTTCAATCCCTTCAACAATGAAAAAGTTTCAAGTAAGACATATTCTAGATGATTTAGTTGTTGATTTGGAAAAACAAACATGCACATCTAGAAAATGGGATCTCACGGGCATCCCATATTGTCATGCAATATCCTACATATTTTTCTTGAGAAAGAAAGTTGAAGACTTTATCATTCCTTTTTACAAGAAAGAAGCCTACCTCAATAGTTACAATGAGATTATTGCTCCATTAGAGGGTGAAAAGTATTGACCAACATCTGAAATCTTACTTGAACCCCCTCCAATTAAAAAAGACCCTGACAAACCTCTAAAGAAAAGAAAAAAAAGATCCATATGAGGATCCAAAAAAACCTAGAAAACTAACTAGGCATGGGAGGGAGATGCATTGCAATATTTGTAAGTTAAGGGGTCACACAAAAAAGAAGTGCAAACAAATCCTTCAACAACATCCAAAACCTGCTACTAAGAGGCCTAGAGGTAGGCCAAGATGGAATGATGTTGATGAGAAAGTTTCAAGTACATATCACCATTCAGTTGTGGCTCAACCTTCAAATAGAGGTAGGGGTGGGAATAGGATCAGAAAGGGAAGAGGAGGACAAACACTTGAAGGCAGAAACAAGGGAAGAGGGAGATCAAATGTAAGCTAGTTATTTTAAATTCAATTTTTTGAAATAACATTTAACTCTAAAACTTTTCACATGCAGATTCGAGCTGGATTTGGCATATATTTTAACTCTACATATGAAAACCAGTACATCAATGTATGTGACACAGTACAATACTTTTGTATCAATTATTTATATTTTTAACACTCACTACTAAATTTATCTTTTTTGCAGACAATAACTAATCCTATAAACGTCTCATATGCCCTTCCCTATGATTCATTCATCTACATCAGGAGGACAAGAAAACATTCAAGCTTCCATAAATGCATCTGGGAGATGAAGGCATTGTTAGTTTAACTTTCCATTAAGATAAACACAATCTTGACTTCTAGTGATGCAACTTTATCAAATACTTTGCATGATTGTAACATAGTTTGAATGTACATTTATGTATTTCTGTATTTCAGTTTGTGTGGTTTTATTTTCATTAGTGTGGTTATTTCATTTTTCTTATTCTGTCTTACACTCTTACATGTGTATTGTTCTATATTATTACTGAAATTCAGAAATGTATGTTATTAGTGTGGTTGTTTCATTTTTCTTCTTCTGTCTTACTTGTGTATTATTCTATGTTATTTGTGTGGTTAGTTTATTTTCATCCTCAAAAGAACACCTCAGTTATTAGTATGGTAGGTTTTAACATTGCATTTGTGCTCTGCTGAGTTTGTTAAGACAGTAGAAGCTAATACTTTTGTCGATTAATCTGGCGTAGATGAGTTGGGAATAATCAGGTGATGATGATTGATTCAAAACAACAAGTATAGTCTGTTGCAAACACATATTACATCATACTTATTCACCACATTTCTCAATCCTGCAACTTTTTGACCAATTAAATCAATTTTGTGGTTTGAGTGTAATACACCAAATATATTCTGAAGCATGAAGTAGCAAACTCTCACAGTGAGTAAGTGGTCTTTGGTACCAATCAAAGCTTAAGTCTTTGAGTTAATGCAAAGAAAATAACTAAAAAGTGAGATTTTAAGAGCTGAACAATTTTAATAACTAAAAAGTGTTATACAACAACTTTACCTATTTGAGTATTTGACAATAACAATTCCAATCTTTAGCTGCAAGAGAACTCATATAGAACAAAATACAACAAGATTACAATAATGATTATACAAAAAATGACCAAAAGGCACTACTTGTAGATTACACATAAGGGCTACCACACATAGATTACACTAGGAGTATTCTCATCTTCCTTCAACTTTAGCATTTCACTTCAAAGGTGAAAGATTTTCAAAAGCTAACTACACTTGTTCATGGCAATTGTAAGCATACTGTTGGTTCACCCAAAAAAAAAAGAACACACCGATACAATTCTGACATCCTACCAACCAAAATGGACAGTACAATAACAATGAAAAACATGATAAAACAACAACCCTCATAGCATTTTTATCTGCACTTGATGCCCTTCTACCTTCAACTTCTAAAAACTTCTTCATTCTAAGTTTACAATTTTTTTCCAGCAGCATTTTGTTCTCAAGTTTCATTTTGTCCAACTCCTCTATAAGCTTTTCGTTCTCCTTCAAAAATGTGATTTTTTCAGCATCCATTGGCATAACATTCTCCATCTTCTTTGCATCATGCTCCCATAAAAAGAAATTACAATTGTCACTCTGCAAATACAAAAACATAACATGACTTTCAAGCCCTAACAAAATAAAATTGTGATTAATTTTACAAATCAACCCTGCCATAAAGGACAACCATAAAATTTCTTTCCCCTGTTTGCTCCAAAAGTAATTGTCTTCAAAGGCGAAACGACATCATGTTCGCATGTCACAGCTAATTTCGGTATGTATTTTGATGATGGGCTAGATGTTGAATTCGCTTCCTTAGAATTACAAAAACTCACGATTTTGCAGAAAGAAAATAAATCCGGGTCTAGAGTTTGCAAGAAAAACTAGAAAATAAGGGACATTTAATAGCAAATAATCTGATGAATCTGATAAACGATTGTGTATATCTATTGAAGAGCTGAAAATGTAGAAGGTGTGTTATAGTCATAAGTATAATCATTAGTAGGGGAGGAATCTAAAACAGAATCAGAATGGACAGAATCATTATCTAAAGCAGGATTAGTATTATTTTTATAAGGAAAAATAATTTCATAAAATTTTACATTTCTAGATATAAAAATTTGTGATTAGAAATATCATATAGTTTATAACCTTTAGAACCAAGAGGGTATCCAATAAAAATACATTTGAAGGTCCTTTTATCAAATTTTGATCTATCATTAGATAAAGTAGAAGCATAGACAAGAGAGCCAAAAAATTCGTAAATGAGAATAATCAGGCATTTTACCATAAAGTAATTCATAAGGAGACTTATTATTGAGAATAGTAGTGGGAATTCTATTTATAATATGAACAACAGTTAGAATGCAATCTGAGAGGTAAACAAGATTGAAATAAAAGAGATCTAGCAACTTGAAGAATATGCTGATGTTTTCTTTCAACCCTAGCATTTTGCTGGGGAGTTTCAACACAAGATAATTTATTAGTAGAAAAGGTAACCTATTCTGTTTAGCAAAATGACAAATATCACAGGAAGAATTTTTATTCAAATGATTTTGAATATTACAACCAACAAGAGAACTGAGTTCATTAAAAGGAAGATGTCCTAGTCCGTAATGCCAGATATTAGACTTATTATCCACATATTGAGAATTAACAATATTAACAGCATAAAGTTTATTATGTGTAAGAACAGGTTATGAAGAATTGTAAAGATAAAGTCCACTTTGAAGATCAGCATAGCCAATCATTTGGTTGGTGAGCAGATCCTGCAAAGTAGCATGACTAGAAGAGAAATGAACAAAGATATTTTCATGTAAAACTAGACTGCTAATAGATATAAGGTTAAAGCTGAATTGTAGAACATATAAGATATTGTGAAGGATAAGATTATTATTTAGTTTAATGTTACCAATATGAGTAGCAGTTATAAAAGAACCAGTAGGTAGTTGAACATTAATAAAAGTATGTTTAGTTGATGATGTATATAAACTAAAATTGTTAGGCCCGAGACTTGGAACCGTAAAACCGGGAAAACCGATCCGAACCGAACCGAATTTTCCGGTTCGTTTCGGTTCCTATAATTTTGGACTTCATCTTTTTTCGGTTCGGTTCCTATAGTATATGATCGGTTCGGTTCCGGTTCGGTTCCAGTTCGGTTCCGGTTCCTGGATAGGAACCGAACTTCCTATACTCATTCGAGGTGCTTCTAGGTGGAATTTTTTAATGCAATTTTTTGAGCTTGTTTTCAATGAAATTTAGATTATGTCCACTAAATTTGAGCTTAAAATTCAATCGGGAAGTTAGTTAAATAAATTATTGAAAAACACTACATCAAAATACATATAAAAAACACAATGTTTTTCAACATTTTATTTAACTCACTTCCCGATTGCATTTCAAGCTGAAATTTGTTGGATGTAATCTTCACTTCATGTAGAACATACTCACAAAATATCATCAAAAAATTCTACCCGGAAGCACCTCAAATGGAGGTGGCCAGACGACGTTCCGCGCAGAAAATTTTTGTCAGGAATATTTGTCTTGCATAATATACCTTATATATTGTGAACCACGCCAACTCGAGTAGTTGTTATTTTACTACTTTAGCCGACTTTTATATTTATTATTTGTTTGTGATCGTATTTGTTGTTTGATTTCACAATAAGAAAATATTATTCCGCTAATTATGTTGTTACTTGTTCACAATAAATTACAAATATTACTGGTCAGTTTATTATTACGGACTTTTTACTTATGATGCATTAGTAGTAGAAGAATATTATTTTGAGGTTGAACCACCCACTATTAGATGTGTACCTTGAAGTTATTAAACCTTTTTGCTTGATAGTTGATGTCTATTTTAAGCATCTAGGTTGTTGTTATGTTTAAACTTAATGTTTGCACTTGGATATTTTTGTGATATTTGAAAATTAGAATATAATGTATGTATAATGTAATGGTCATAATTTCATCATTTAAAATTTGAATTTTTTTATGTAACTGAAGGTAAAATGTATTCATTTTAGGAGGACAATAAATTTTTATTAGGAACCGAAAAAATGTAAGAACCGAATCAAATTTAACTAGAACCGAACCGAATTTAACAACTACATTTTTAACTAGAACCGAACCGAATTTAGCGCCTATAATTTTTAATACAGTTCTATCGAATTTTAACAAGAACCGATCCGATCCCAGACCTAAAAATTGTGAGTCATATGATCAGAAGCTCCTGTGTCAAGAATCCAAATAGAAGTTGAAGTATTAGAAAAGAAAACAGAATGATTACCTAGAAAAGAAGAATCATTAGAAGATTGATCATGTTGTGGAACAGTCATAGCAACGTGAGCAGTAGCAGCATTATCACTTTGAGTTTTCATAAACTCAAGAAATTTATTGTAGAGAATAGGATCACATAGTTCCATGTCATTAGAAGAAGAATCAGTGGAGGTGTTGGCTAGATGAGCATGAGCATGTGTACTTTGAGCAGTGGAGGGCAGTTTGAAGCCAGGAACAGTTCTCAACCCTTTAGGTCCTTTCCAGTTTGGAGGATAACCAATTACTTGGAAGCATTTGTCAGAATAATGTCCTTGATAACCACAATGGTTGCAAGTAATAAATTTCTTTTTGGGGATTTTTGACTAGAAAGGCAGTAGAATCAGTAGTGTCATAACCATATGTATTATTAGGATCAGAAGGAAAAGGAACAGGATTAATAGGATGTTGAAGGGTTCTTTGAGACTCTTCTTGTAGAAAGAAAGAGTAAAAAGAAGTGAGACTAGGAAAAGGTGTTTGGAGAAGAATTTGACTTCACAAAGTAGAATATGATTCATTCAAACCAACAAGGAATTTCTGAACAGATTCTTTCTCAAGCAACATTTGATATTTTTCATTGAGCTTACAGGTACAAAGACCACAAGAACAAGAAGGTAGGGTTTTAAAATCAACATATTCGTCCCAAAGACCTTTGAATATGTTGTGGTAAGTAGTAACAGTTTGAGTTCCTTGAGAAATATTGCCTAGGAATTTTTCTGTATAAAATACTCTAGGACCGTCACTGTTACCGTACCTAAGCTTAATTTCGTCCCAAAGATCCTTGGCAGAGGTAAAGTATAAGAAAGTGGAGCAAATTGCAGGAGCAATAGAGTAAATCAACCAAGATAGTAGTAAAGCATTGATACGATACCAGATTGTATAAGCAACAGAGTATTCTGGACCTGGTTGAGTGATGGAGCCGTCGATGAATGTCATCTTGTTCTTCACGTTGAAGGCCATAGTGACAGATTTCTTCCAAGCAGTGAAGTTATCTCTAGTAAGCGTTTCAGAGATGATCTGGAGACCTACGTGATCACTAGGATGCAAATAATATGGAGACAAAACGTCTTCAGTAGGATTTAAGGGGAAAGTCGATTGATTTATCGCAAAAGAAAGTTTATGCGATTAGGGTTACAGAATGGATTAAATTCAGAGAAACAACGATTTATAGAAATCGAAAGAAGATGAAGATTATCAGAAGGACGATGAAGGATCGAATCCTAATCTGATACCATGTTGAAATTTATCTCAAGAAATTAGATGAAATTGAAATCTAAGATGATGAAGGTTTGCAGAAGAAGATAGCGGAAGCAAGAAGATCGATTGAATGAAAAGTTGACCTAATTACAATGGGTTTTGATATTTATATCTATTACATAAAAGGCTATTAGAGAATATATGCAAAGCCCAGTAGAATAACGAATAGGCTCAAAGTAGCAGCCCCAACTTATTATTCTAAGCCCAAAGCAGCGGTCTCAGCTTAGTAGAATAACGAATAGGCTCAAAGCAGCAGCCCCAACTTATTATTCTAAGCCCAAAGCAGCAGTCCCAGCTTATTATTCTTGATAGCCATATATAGCCGCTAGTTACACGTTCCGCCACATATTTTAGCTTCAGTTTCATCTTTTGTTTTAAATTTTTGATATTTATCATTTATTTAGAATAAACAACCCAAGTCATGTTATTTCACATTACATGATTACATCAATTTCAATGATAAAAGCATAAAGGTTTTAGTAAGCTGCAGAGCTTTGAGAGGGATGTTAAATACTACGGAGTATATTAGTGTGTAACACCTAGTTGGTCCTTTTACTTTTCTTCTAAATAGTAAAATAGGTTGTAATATTTCATCAACAAAAACAAAAAAACAAAAAAAAAACTCTTTCATATTTACACATGGTGTTAAAATAGGAAAGACTTTTTGTGAGCCCATGATGAAATGTTCAATTTACTTTGGTATTGCATACATTGAGAAATTCTGGTACCATTTTACTACCTCAAAGGATATCCATAGGTTGTACTCCGTTCATAAACTCAAAAGAATAAAAAGGTGGTTCTGATACCATTTTAATATAGGGATTAGGGAAGAGTTGTGATTCTATTAATGAAATGTTACAACCTATATTTATTTATAAGAAAAGTAAAACGGACAAACTAGACATTATGCATTAATATAATATTCAACAAATATTAATTACTTTTATTCTTTTCAAGGTACAAAATCATTTGATGTTGGAGAGGTAAAATGGCCAGTATTGGAAGATTAGTAAAACAATATGGATTGAATTCCTAAAAGACAACTCTTTTGGGACAACCCAATTGGCTAAAACGTCTAATAGTTTGGGGTGGAGTGAGTAATTCCACGAAAAAAGGGACCTAGAGTCCTAGATGGTCTACCTCTTTTTGCTCAAACCATGAAGTTCTTTGCTCCTCCGCCACATATTCAATTTACTGTAGCTTTGCTCTCAATTCTTCCGGTTTAAGCTTGACTTCTTCTTCAAAGTACCCTATGGAGGTATCTAGTGCAAGTGTGCAACTATTGGATGAGAAAGAGATTCAGTGCTATCCCGAGTCTGCTTTTCAGCCTTTCAGACCTCTTCTTTCTCAAGACGTAGAATGTTTTTACTTGGACTGTAATTCGTCCCAGACCAGACCAGATCAGACCAGTTCAGACCAGACTTGGATAGTTATAAAAATACAAAGAAACC